CTGATGACCCCATGTTGATGTCCCAGCACTGTGCTATCTGGGAAGAAGGGCAAAGGGGCATCAGTGAGGACTGCCTGCAGCAGGCTGGCCCCCAGCTCCAGAAAGCAGCTACAAAACACAAGCAGCATCAGAGAGAGCAGCCAAGGAGCTTTTATTCCTGTAGAAATGAAGAGCCAAAATGAAGTTTGAAGCAAGCCTGAATCTAACCCAGCACATGCAGGAAAAGCTGTTAAGCAGCTTGTAAGGAGTAACAACCAGAAAGTCTGTGTCCTGGGAAATGCTACCACGTCCAGAGCCAACTCCAACTCCAAGAGCTGTTCCTGTGCTCTTGGCATGGCAGGAAACTCATGGCTACCTTGGCTCTGTTGTCCTTCTCCCTGGGGAGCCCCATTCAAAGGTCTTCCAGGTCCTACCTCCACCAGGACCCAACACCACACCTGCCTTCCCCACATACAATGTGTTTTGAATTCTTCAGACACAGGCCTGGAAGTGCCAAGTGTTGTCAAGCCAGAGCATGGATGGCTCTGTATGTCCCCATCTCTGTCAGAATCGCTCTCAATGGCAAGAGCTGGTTTCAGCTGCCATGACTGTGGGGACAGCCCCAGCAGACCCCGTTTTCCCATCTTCCCACCCCAGTCCCACAAAGAACAATTTTTTTCCCAAAGCTGTAACTGTCCTTCAAGGAGTTTGCCTTATTTAGTAGGTTGGTTACTTGGTTTCTTAGCATCTCATGGGTACTTAGCATGAAATGTGACTTCCCAAAGAGAGGCCACTTCTGCAGGTCTCTCACTCTGAAGGTTGCCTCTGCACCTGCAGGATTTCCTTAAACTTTCTGGTCCAGTCTCGATTCCTGCAATAATCACCCCTGTCTTTCAGTAGTCCTGTGCTGGAGAGCATTTATCCATTGATGATCTTCTCGCTGATGTATCCAGGCATGGTGTAGATCAAAAGAACCAGGAAGATGGTCAGAACAGCGACAATGAACAGCACAATGATGTATTTCTTGTACCGCTTCCAGATAAAGAACACAAAGGTCTTCATGGGATTCACAAACCAGTTGAAAGAAGTTTTTGGCCGGCTGAAACAGGAAGGGAAGAATAGATAAGCACAGGGTCAATCGACAGAGTAGCATGTTTGTCCCTCTGCTTTGGTGCACTGCCACCCTCGTGGGTCACCAGGTCTTCCTGCTGCTTCCAGACAGCATCACCCTAGGGGCTGCAGTAACTATGGTGCCTATGAAAGCACTGCAGACAACAGGAAACAACAGGACCTGAGCCTCAGGACAGTCCCCGCAGAGCTGTTCTGCACTCATGTGGCTACGTATGGTCAAACCAGAGCTGCCCTTTTTGTACAAACAATGTTATGGCATAGCTGCCTTGAGTACCTCACTGAGATCAGTCCTCCCCCAGATGTTGCAGCCACAAGTCCTGCTGGACCCAGCTGAGCTCTGGGAAGCCCTGGCAGCGCCAGTCCTGCAGACCCCACCGCCAAGGGCCCCATTGATTGCTATCAGCTTCCTGACAAGCAGATGCTCCCTGTCCATATGCAAACAGCTGCTGAAAACATGGCACTGTCCATCCATATTAAAGGTGATAACACAGATGATACTCACTTGGGCTTTTCAAGGGGTTCAGGCTCTTTTCGGCCCAAACCAACGGGACTTTTCTCAGCATCCTCCACAGTCAGCAGCTGGAACTCCGCTTCCACCTTACCCTGGAGGGGGAACATGTCTGAGCCACAGCCGCACATGTTGCTTTGCAGACCAGCCTGCTGACAACGCGCCCTGCCAGGACTGGGTATTTTTCTCCTAGTTCCACTTACAGATGCTCCGAGCAATTAACTTTTCTCTCCAGACATTAGCTACAGAGTCTCTCACTTCACAGCCAGTGGAGACTGTGTCCTGGCCAGCAACTAACTGTTTTGCAGACAAGGCACTGTATTGTAATGCACTCCCCAGCTATCTGGATTTGCCCGCAGCCTCCCACACTAGCACTGAGCAAAACTCACCCATGGGGACAAACAACGGTCCACTAGCAGGGCCATCAGCAGCAAGTCTGCCCTGGGACAGCTGGCACCTGCCTGTCTGGGATAGGCAGAGACCCTAGGACAAGCTTTTGCTGCTGTCCTGTCTGGTTGATGGGGAGCCATGTGCCTCTTGCTTTGCTCCCCTCACTGAGCACTGCTCTATGGGAAGCTCAGAGGAAGACATGAAGTCGGACACCCCCTGCAGCTAGCACTTCTGAGTAGATGAAGTGCTGGATTTGCAGCAGATGGGACAAGCCTCCAGGACCCTGCACAAAGTCCTGGGAGCTGGGTCATTGCTGCCTTTGTAGGTTATGTGCACGCAGGACAGGTTGCCATGTCAAGGCAGAGGCAAAACATTGGCTCTCTGCTCACCTGGGCCAGCACCCTGCCTTACCGTCAGGAGGTACTTGTTCCCACTGGGGTCTGTGAACTCCACGTCCTCTGGTTTGACTGAGCTGCTCCACTTCTTTTTCTTCTTCTTCTGCTTGTCCTCCCTCTCCTCTCTCTCCTCATCTTCTTGATCTTTGAGTTTGATGAAGGGCCACCAGCCTCTCATGCGCTTGTTTCGGAAGATGGAAAAGCGAGGTGTTGCGTTCTCCTTGGCCATCTTGATGGTGCAATGCTCTGAGCTCTTGGCTGCCCGCACCATGTCATGCAGCTTCAGCTCCATGGAGCCTGCAGGCACAGACAAGAGAAGACCTCATGGTGAAATCCTGAGGTCAGCCCCGCACACCATTTGGCTTTCTGTCTCAGCCATGCTCCTACCACCACAAGTAGGTCCCAGCTGCTGCAAATGACCTAGCAGAGTCCTGCACATTTCCAGGTGGAGAAGCTAAAGCTCAGCATAAGCAAGGACCAGCCCAAGAGTTAGAGACTAAGAAGCAGAAGCCACAGATCTTGTCTCATCTCTGATGTGACCAGTTTGGTTTGTGTGTGGTACAGTGGGTTATTTTCATTCCTTTACCATGTCCCACCCTGCTCTCCTCACATGTCCAAGCTCCTCTTCCCCTCTCATTCCTGCAAACGTCAATAAAAAATTACAAAATCTGGGAAACTCTTTAAAGGTTTCAAGTCTGTCTTACATCTGAAACAGCCTCAGTTCATTTCCCTGATTGGCCTTGCACCCCTGTCCTCCTTGGAAGGAGCTCCTGTCCCACTTCGGCACTGAGCCCTTGCAACAAATCAGTCTTATCATGTACTGGTCTGTATTGGCAAAAGCATAGCCAGCAACCAAGGGATGTGGGTGTTCTCCTCTGCTCAGCTCTGATGAGACTGCATCTGGATATGGTGACCAGTTTTGGACCCCCAACACAAGAAAGGTGTCAACTAACTAGAGAGAGTCCAGTGGCTGAGATGAAGGCTAGAGTATGGACCATAGCAGGATGGGTTGAGAGGCCCATGCATGTTCAGCCCAGAGAAAAGAGGTCAAAGGAGAAGTTTTACTGCATCTCTCATAGCCTAAAGGAAGCTATAGAGCAGATGGAGCTAGACTCTTCTCAGAAGTGGATGATGAAAGCACCTAAGGCAACAGTCACAAGCTGCTGCAAGTAAAAAAATTGGAGAATTATGAGAATGGTGCAGCCAGGAAAAGGGGCCCAGAAGGGTGCTGGGATCTCCATCCTTGGAGATACTCAGAACTCACCCAGACAAGGCCCTGAGCATCCTGACCTACATTGCATCTAGCCCTGCTTGGAGCAGGAGGTTGCAATAAAGACTGCAGAAGCCCCTTCCTGCCTAGAAGTTCCTGAGATTGTACATGCCAAGAATCATTGGGATTGCTGTCTAATACTTTCTTCAGTGCCTGTGTAGCATGGCTGAACCAATCGCCATTGGAAGTGCCTCATGGAGGTAAAGCCTTTTAAATACACCATGGAAGGTTGATGAATAAAGAGAGTTTTATCCTGCCCAAGACACAGCAGGGCAAAGGGGCTGCTTTTTAATGGGAAGGCCAAAGTTTGAAGAAGGGGGGGACAACTGAGTGGAGTGCTACAAACCTGGGGATAGCAGCAGAAGCAGGAGAGAAGCAGCAGTGTTTGTGCTAGCATAGTGTGGGTGGAATCACCACCAGTCCAGCTTTGTCACCAGGCCCTGCTACATGCTCAGCTCAGCAGGTCTGGTTACTGGGAACTACAAGAGCAGCTGGGGAGCTCCAAGCCCCCAGTAATGGGATGCTGCAACTCAAGTGCAAATGGTCTCACAAAGATTGCCAATCCCTGTGCCCACAATGTAAGCTCCTGGGAAAGCTGCACTTTGGCCAAGTCTTTGGGATCTGCAGATCTAAGTGAGAGCAGGGAAAATGAGCAAGTTTATCAGAAAGGTTGTGAGGTTCTTCTTCACTATGAGGGTGGTGAGGCACTGGAACAGGTTGCCCAGAGAAGTTGTGGATGCCCCATCCCTGGAAGTGTTCAAGGCCAAGTTGGATGGGGCTTTCAGCAACCTCGTCTAGTGGAAGGTGTCTCTGCCTATGGCAGGTGGGTTGGAACTAGTTGATCTTTAATGTCCCTTCCAACCCAAACCATTCTGTGATTCTATGATTCTATGAAGCAGAACCTGGGAGTCCTGTGGCATGACAGGCCCTGAAAAAGGACACCAAAGCCCTGAGACAAGCATGCAAGCTCAATGTGTCTGTGTAGGAGAGGTGCGTATCTCCAGGTTCTGCCTATGGAAAAACCAGCCCAGGTGACTGCTGAGCTGAAGAGCTTGATCTGATGCTCCTGGTGTCCTTTCTCAGAGAGCTGGGGCCCGGGGGAAATGCTGTAATGCTCCAGCAAGGTGAGGGACAGGTCACCCCACTTCCAGCAGGTCACACCATACCTAGAAAGTCATTAGCTGAAATCCTGTCATAATCCCAGACCTGGAGGACCAGAACAGCCGGTTCCCGAAACTCTGATTCCTCCACGGAGAAGACAGAGTCCTTCTTCTTGTAGGTGATCTCCTTCTCGGTCGGGAGATAGTTGAAGCGGAACACAAACCTCCAGTTGAAATTGCCCTCCCCGGTCAAGGAGTTAAAGTGAACATCCGTCTCCTGCTTTTCATGGTCAAGACCCTTTATCCAGCTGCAGGAAAAACTCAATTATCTCCTACCCCGTCAGCCAGCCCAAAAGCAGAGCAGAAGGATAGAGGGGCTGAACCCCATGGGGTAGCAAGAAAGGAAGAGTCAAAAGAGCCAAACCAGAGCAACACCTGACCAACATCTTTGGGGGTACAGAAGTCCATGCAGGGGACTGGAGTGGGGCAGCTCGTGCTGAGGCAGGGAGGGTGTGGGGCAGGACAGGGAGCAGGACAGCCAGGCTCTGGCCTCCCTCTGATTCCCATCAGACCTTTTCACATAGATGTCACTGGAAGGCTCTCCCGTTACTGGGTTGACATCATCAAGGATCACATCGTCCGTGTTCCAGATAATCACACGCAGCTCATAGCTGTGGGAAGGACACAGGGCTGTGTGAGACACATGCTCTTGCCCCCGGTACCTGGGAGGGCAGGTCAAGCCCACACCGGCAGAGCAGCAGGACTTGAACCCTCCTAGCACTGTTGTCCCCTGCCAGGGCTCCTCTGACCAAGCACAGCCCAGCAGTCTCGCTGCCATGCACAAAGCCCTTCCTGGGGGACTACAACCCCATAAGACAAACACCCACAGTCAAAACAGGCAGCTTTTGCAAAGCAAATCCCTGGTGCGTGGGAAACCCACCCAGCACCACTTAGCCACAGGAGCACAGAAAGGCTTAGGCAGAAAGGGACCTCTGCAGTTTCTGCTCCAATCTCTTGCTCTAACTTCATAGCGGATCAGATTGCTCAGGGCCTTGTCTGCATGAGTTTTAAATATCTCCAAGGATGAATATCCCAGCACCTCTCTGGGTCACTCCATCCTTATCCCAGGGTAACTTCACTCTCATTGGGAAAATGTTTTCCCTATATCCAGTTGGAGTTTCCCTTGCTGCAGCTTGTGTTCATTATCTCCTGTCCTTTTATGTGCACCTCTGAGAAGAATCTGGACCCTCCATCTCAATAGCCCCATTAGATCATTGGAAACAGCAGATCTCCTCCTTCAACTTCACTTCTCCAGGCACCCAGAAGACATCTGTCCCCTAGCCAAAATAGAGCTAGATGAGTACCTCTAACCTGGGTTTCTATCACCTTCATGTCCAGCCTTAGAGAAATTAACCCTACCCTTCACAAACACTTGTGCAGCTGAAGCGCTTATGCCCCATGCTGATACACCCAAGAGACCATGCCATGGCCAGAGCTGAAGCAGAGAGGAGGGCTGCATGCCAGGCTAGCACAGACCATCAGCCTGTGCAGGACTCCATGGCACATCCCATCAGGCATGGCAAGGGACAGTGACCCTCCATGCAGGCTCACCAGCCTCAGCCCCACTCCCATGGGTGCTACCTGACAGGCAGTCGTGGCTTGATATTGACAGGTGGCGGTGCGGGGACGTCATTTGGAAACATGTCAATCCACATATGCAAGGAGCCCTGACAAGAGAAGACAGCAGAAAGACTTCAAAAGACAGACGACCTCCAGCTCTTCAAGGAGCAAGGGCTTGGTCCTGCAAGGAAAGCTCTCACCAGAAAGGCAGTGCTTGGCTCTCTCCATCCCCAACACTTCAGAGTGACTTGTGACTGGATTTTAGGTAGGGAAAAAATTAAAACTACTGAAAATTGCTTATTTCTGTCCCCACCCTGCTCCCAAGAAAAACCATTTCAGCTGAACTGAATTAATTTCAAACAGAGGCAAACATGTCCCTCTGTCTTAACAAGAGCATACGATGATGCAATGCTTCAACATAACCAAGAAAACTAAAAAGTGATGGGCTTGACCCTCCCCTCCCACATGCGTTTCCAACGCTGACCAAAGCCAGAGTGATTGCAGAGCCTTGCTTTGTTACAGACCTCCAGTACCCAAGGGAACAGGAGATGTTCAGTGCAGGACATTGAAATGGCTGAGCTCAGATCACTGCACTGGATTAAAACTGAGGAGGAATGTTTCTCCTCCAGCCAGCAGTTACGTCATACGCCCAGGGAGAAGCCAAGCGGGCAGAACAGGGCTCTTGCAGGGGGGCAAAGCAGCAGTGACAGGGGACAAAGCAGAGGAAGAGGCAGGGATAGGCAAAGACACTACTACCCTGCGTGGCCAGCAGGAGCAGGGAGGTGATCGTGCCCCTGTACTCGGCCCTGGTGAGGCCGCACCTCGAACCCTGTGTTCAGTTTTGGGCCCCTCCCTACAAGAAGGACATTGAGGTGCTGGAGCGTGTCCAGAGAAGGGCAACGAAGCTGGTGAAGGGCCTGGAGCACAAGTCTTATGAGGAGCAGCTGAGGGAACTGGGGCTGTTTAGTCTGGAGAAGAGGAGGCTGAGGGGAGACCTCATCGCGCTCTACAACTACCTGAAAGGAGGTTGTAGCGAGGTGGGGGTTGGTCTCTTCTCCCAAGTAACTACCGATAGGACGAGAGGAAATGGCCTCAAGTTGCACTAAGGGAGGGTTTAGACTGGACATTAGGAAAAATTTCTTTACTGAAAGAGTGGTCAGGCCTTGGAACAGGCTGCCCAGGGAAGTGGTGGAGTCACCATCCCTGGAAGTATTTAAAAGCCGTGTAGATGAGGCACTTAGGGACATGGTTTAGTGGGCATGGTAGTGTTGGGTTGACAGTTGGACTTGATGATCTTAGAGGTCTTTTCTAACCTTAATGATTCTATGATTCTATGATTCTACCCACTGTGGTGCATGGTGGCAGGGCTCAGAAGGCAGAGCAGGTCCCTTGCCACCCACACAGCATCCTCATCAGAGCAGTGCTACATGGCCTGAGGAGACAGGAAGGACTCTGGACCACCAGTATTGTGACCACAACATCTATGGACAGAGGTCCCTTGAGGAAAGGTGTTCAGAAGCACCATGAGAGGTTAGACGGTGGACCTGAGCAAGGCCAACAGTCCTCACTTCATAGCAGGGCCAGCCATCCGCAGATACAGCTCCAGTCGCCCACCCAGGAAGGGGCAACACATGGATTCATGCCATGATGAGGAGACAAAAGGACAACAGGGGACCAGCCAAGGGGCTGGGAACCAGCTGCCCTGAAGGTTCTTCCCCAGAGCAATGTCTAGGCTGGGCAAGGAAACACATCTCACCTGCACGAGCCCAGGGTTCTCCGGGTTATACAGAGACCGGATCTCTACGTGCTCTGGTACCAGCTTGTACCCGTATCCTGGCATCTCTTCCCAGTGCTGCAGGACGTACAAAGCCTTATGTTCATCATCCACAGACCAGTTCTCATCTGCCACTCCTCTCTTGTTCCTCACAGAGACCTCTGCAGCAGGACACAGACAGGTAGAAGATGAAGGCATCTGGGTGGCAAAAGCCACATCAGGACATTAGTCACAGGCACAAGTAAGGGAAGATGATGGACTGGGCAAGCACCTCCCCAGAAAAACAAAATGGGGAGAAGCAGGAGAGCGAGGATGAAGGGAATGAGTTCAATATGTTGCAGTGATGAGGAAAACTGTAGGCAGGAAGACAAACAGGCTAAGAGAAATAAGAGGGAAAGGGCAAAAAATAATTTACTATGGCCCTGGGAAAAGGATCCAGGGGACACCGAGGAGAATGTGACCCTCTGGGGCTGTTTAAGTCCCCACGTCTCTGTGGTTGTGCCAACAGATCCATGCATGAGAGGTTTTGCCCTAGAAGCGCTCCAGGAAAGCACCACTTGTCACTTGGCTATGACATGCAGCTGTGCTCTCCGTTAATTAACAGTCTGCACAATTAATTGACTTATCTGGCACAGTGAAGCCAAATGGCATTTCAAATCCTGCTGGTGGGGAGAAAAGCAGGAACAAACAGGTGAGGACACAATGACCCACCCACCCCTGGGTTTTTGGAGATCAGTCTGAGACCAAAACCAGCCCAAGCAGTCCCTGAGCACAGCAGAGGTTCATGGGGCACCAACTGCAGCCACGTTTGAACCAGAGCTGCTCTCAGGGCAACACCAGGAGAGCAGCTCGTTTCTCCCTTCCCAGTTATCCAGCGACCTGAGAAAAAGGGAAAAGAGCTTTTGGAGTCTCCTTGCCCTCTCCTGAGCAGGATTTCTTTCCCCTTCATGACATAAGCCATAAAGGCCAGCGGAAAGCTGAGGAACAGCAGCACTGAAATGAGCAGAAAGTAAAGCTGGCCGTACACATAGGCCCCCCCTCTCTGGGCAGGTCAGGCACAGGGATCATCCTTCCTACAGGCTACATAGCATTGTCTTGCAGGACCCAGCCATCCACAAGCGGACCACATCTGCTCCACACTTTCCTCCAGGCTGGATTCGATTGCACAAGTGTTGGCCACTGAAGTGAACAGGGACAAGCCTGTGCTCAGGAAAGTTCTCCAAGACTGCTGGCAGTGGGCATGAAAGGTTGCTGTGTTCTTGGACATCCATGGCCCTGGCTCAGGGTTTGTAACACCAGTGAGGAGGAAAGAAAAACAGCAAAGGAGAAGCAGAAGGTGCCCACAAGGAGGAAATCAACAGTAGTGAGGAGCAGCGGGGAGTCACCCAAGGCACCCAAAGCCACCAGAAACAGAGAGCTTCCCTAAAGGACAAAGCCAGCTAAAAACAGGAAAGGAGACTGAAAAAGCCCTTCCCACCCCCCCTACCCCCCCCAAAAAAAAAAACAACCAAAAAAAAGGATGCCAGTATCTTGCTGATAGTGGTCACAAGCAGATGGAGGTACAGCTTTGTGCCAGTGTCAGCCACCAGAATAAGCTACACCTTCTCCCGCTGCACAAGCCATCAAACCCCCATGCACATCATTGCCATGCAAGCGGGTTTACTTTGCTCCGCCCACTGCCTGGGAAGCCACTTTGAGACCTAATGGCCTGGATCACATCTTCCCCCAGTGCAACACCATCATCCACTGAAACCAGGCCACTGAGGACCGAGGATGCTCCCCACGGTGGCCCAGAAAGCTGGGCCATGCAGGGCACAGAGTGGGGGCAGCCAGCCTGGACACTTCAGGGAAGAGAGGCTGGTGAGTTCCCAGACCCCTCACCAGCACATGCACTGCTGAGCACAGGCAGCTGTTTAAGGGAGCAGTCATTGTTCTCCAAGCTCTCTGTACCTTCAGGAAAAGCCTCTGGAGGGACCTTGAATATTTTATTGTCCACTTTGACCTCCTCCCATCTGTACTCTGCTGCAGGGAGTGAGTTTTTCTTGCATAAACTATCCAAGATCTGTGTGGGCTTGAAAGCATCTCGCCACATGTTGTAGCCTTTTCTGCATGGAAGGGAGAACATCAAGAACATCTTCAGCTTAGACACAACAGGTTTTTTTCCTAGGCTATGAAACACCCTGCCTTCCCTACAGCACAGGCTATGCCACCAGATCCCTGCTCAGATTTTCACTGGGAAAACCACAGGCACACAAAAGCTTAATGAATTAAAAGCTTAACAAGCTCTCCTCTCCCAGAACAAACCAGGCTTGCACCCCACAGAACCATTAGCTTCTGAGCAGCAACAGGAGCAATTCCAGCTGCAGCTCCTAAGTGGGAGAGAGGTTTTAGCAGTGCTGGGGACTCAACTCCATACCCACAGCTAATTCTCCAATAACGGGGTAGGAGAAGATAAATTTGCAGAAAACTGGCCAAAGACACCAGAGAATCCATACTGAATGAGGCCAAAGGAAAACAGATGTCATGAGTCTTGCTGCTCACAGAATTAGCTACTGCCAGAGAAACCGCCCTACTTTCTGAAAGAGGTCAAAATCACATCAATGTCAAGTGAGCGCTTTTCTCACAGAACACCAATATAAAAGCATTAAAGAATTTTTTGCTACTGTATGCAAAATATATTAGTCTGCAGTAGGAATTAGAGCTATCACAGGAAGCTGGTAGGAGTCTAAAGGAGATGGAGCTATCAGTGTAATTTGTAGTGAATCTGTGGGGAACCTGCTCAGATGATACTGTGGAAGCATGCTCCTTCCTGCAAAACTGGAGATGCTCTGTTACCCACCCAAACGGTAGGCGAGAAGAACGCATCTCATGGCCCTAATGTGTCACACCAGTACCTACATGTCATACTGAGAAGCCACTCCACAGTTGGCCCTGTGCTTGCTGTAGAATCGATTCTCCAAGTCAATCTTGGTCTCCCCAATCAGATCATCAGATCCAACCAAATCATGGTCAAATATTGCCACGGTGAGTTCTGATTCCATGGGAAAGGAGACTGTCAGCTCCACAAGTCTGGACAGAAGCAGACGGGGAGAGTGCAATTAGCAAAGAGGATGCTCTGCTTTGATCATCCTACACATTTAAGAACTGTACTTGACAACTCAAAGACCTCTGGTAGAGTTTGGTTCTCCATAAGTTGAGTGTGTGCAGTTTTATTGTGCATGTTCAAACAAAGGAGTTACTTTTCCAGGGATGTATATGCCCTTGGCTAGAGGTCCTGGAGCTAGGGAAAAAGCTCTCCAATGCTCTGTTGCTGCTTGGCTTGCTACTTTGTTAAATCAAGCCCTTGGGAGTGCTCCCCTAACCCAAAACGCTTACAGCTCCTGTGTCAGTGGGAGGCAAGAGACATGCCTGAGACTTTTGTGTTACAGCACAAGATCCTCCAGCAGAAAGGAACAGAAGACCACACATGCTGGGCCACAGCCTGAGCCCCAGATTTGCACTATTCCTATTAAACCTGCTAGATGAAAACTTTCTGCATACTCTCCAAACACAGGATTGAGCTGCTTTGGGATGTATCGCTCCTTTGTGTCCTTCTGCTCCTGCCCCACAGTTACCACCACGTAGGGGTCTGCTTTGCCATTAGGGTCTGCTGGAGACAGGTTCGTAGCCTGGAATACACAAAAGGTACTGCCATACATCAGCTGCAGAGACCAACCTGCACAAGGAACACTGCACAGGCCTGAGACAACCCAAGCCCGCTGGGTCAGGTCCCTCTAGCAGCTGCCCCAGCAGTGAAACAGGCACTTGTTCCCACGCAAATCCCCACTCAACAAGCCACCGATGTCTCCAGCGGTTGGCCCACCTATTTGCTCACTGTCTCAAGGCAGATGAGAGGAGCCGAGAAATGCCCATCTGGATTTTTAGCACCTCCTGAAGCTACAAAGCATGGAAGGCTCCCCATGGACAAGATGTAGCTGACTTCCACTGGGCTGGCAGAGCCTTCAAGCCAGCATCGAGCTTTTCACAAGTGCCACTGCTCATATTTACTGAGCAGAGAATGGCAGGAGGTCCATAGTGAGGGACAGACCTCCAAGCATTACTGCCACCACTACCAGACACTTACCTTAACGATGTAAATTCTTACAAGAACCTTGATGGGTCTGTTCCTTGGAACACCCTGGGAGACCTTGGGCTCCGTGCCTGCTTCCTCAGTGGGGTAGACATAGAAGGAGCCCTGCAGAAAAGACATTGCAAGTAACAACTAGATACAAAAGAGAATATCTCAGATGGGATTGGAGCTACCAAGAGCAGCTTCACCTGCCAACTAGAAAATCAGAGCCATTGTCCCATGCAGACCACAGACACCCTGTGCCCATGGGGACAGTCCTTTCCAAAGGCACTGTCATATCCACATGGCCCAGGCAGTCCCTGTTCGCAAGTTAGGCTGCAGGCTGTCAGACCACTGCCAATGCTAGAAAATCTGAATATCTCCAGGCACTTTGGACTGCCAAAGGCAGGGGGCACCAAAGGTTTTTCTGGGACCTTCTTAAATCAAGTTCTGTAGTTGATATTTCAGAGTCTTCAAGAGCTCCTGGGTGGGAGGATGATGCCTCTTTTAAACAAGTTTTACTAATTTTAAAACCAGTGAAGCTCACTAATTCTTATTTGCATACTGAACATACCCAGAGGCCCCAATCAGAATAAGAGTCCTTCATGCTTCATGCTTTCTCTTTGCAAGAGCTAAAAAATCTAAATCAGGTGCATTTATCAACTAACAAAAGGACCACAGTACACAATTGCTTCAACAGGCACCAACAGTACCTTGGCCATGCCACACCATGGCTTCACATCACCTTGGACACACATGCACTCTCCAAGGCTTTGCTGGTGTTGGCATGCTCTGAAATACAAGTTGTCCTAAGGGTTTTCTTCCACATGCAGCACAAATGTCATTCAAGTGATACAGTACCTTGTACTTGCCCACAAAATGTTCATCCTCATTTCCATCTTCATCCTCATTTGCTTTGCCACGATGAAGGGGGAAAATACACAGCCAGTCTTCAAAATTATCAAACTCATTTTCCAGCTCAGAGTTGTAGATCTGAAATAAGTAGAAAGTAATTTTGGGTCTTTTCCTGCCATCTTAAAGGAGAGAAGAGTTAGAAAGACCATCCTTTCCCTGCTTCAACCTGGTCCTACCTTATCCCTGTATTAGTCAGTGCAGGGTGTTACGGTTTTCCCTTATCCCCCCAGGTCCATCCTCAGATGTGCACACACATCCCAGCTTGGCTCCAATGTCTCACTAGCTGTTTCAAAGCCCAGCAATGATGGGGGCCCAGTGCACACTGTAGGTTCTCCTCCCAGTCTAACCTCCACTGCAGGGAGGTGAGGAGGACATGGATAAAGGGCCAGGGTTGAAAGAGGCCAGACCTGTCACCCCAATAATCACCTGAAGGGTGGCGATGAGCTTCCTCTTGGGTCGAGCAGGTTGAGCTTCAATTACTGCCTCATCTTCTGCTTCCATGTCAATGGAGGATGCATTTAAATTCCCTCCATCTAGAAATAGCAATAGGAGATTGGGAAATGCTCTGATCTCTCCCATCATCTCAAATGTCTGTCCACAAAATGACCCCAGCAACAGCTTTTGCTTTCACCCAGGGCTTTGACCTGTGTCAGGGTAACTGGAGCTATCGCTGTAACATGTGTCCTTACGGCATCTCAGTTTTCCCAGCAAGGCATGGCTGGATGGGTGGGGAGACAAAAATTGGCACAGACTTGCCTGCCTGCATGGCTACTGTTTAGGAAGGAAGTGGGCAGAGACCAAATGGAGGAAGGTGGCTGGACCAGTCCACAGGTGCTGTCAGAGAAGGCACAAATGAGAGCTAACCCTCTTCTTTGGATGGATGCTTATTTGATGGACTGCCGTTTTGGGTGGATATCTAACTGAAGCATCCTTACCACTTTGGGTACAGGCACCTGTGCATGGAGAGAGCATAGCTAGACCTTTCTCTGGGGCAACAGCAACCCAAGGAGAGAGAGGGTGTCCTATTTCCCAAAGACCCCAGATCCCTTGAGCACTAATGGCATGCAGGTACCCTCCAGCCCTCTCCTTAAATAGGATTTACATCATTTCTGTACTTACTGTCTCACCTCCCCAGGTCATTGCTAGGCGAGTCACTGTTTACACTTCCACAAACCTGAGCCTACAGCTGTTCTCAGATATCTGTTCATTATTACTGTCCTTCTGTTACCTCGTAGTGAATCCTGTACCCCAGGTGAGTATCCCACGTGCACAGAGTGATGCCCTGCTCCTGGACAGTTTTGCCTCTCCACCATCCTCTCTCTCCATCCCACCTTTGCTTCCTGCTCTCACTCTGACAATCCCAGATCCTTGCAGCTGATTTTTCTGCAGGTTTTTGCTCACTCAGGAAGGCTCTTGCTTCAACACAATTTTCCAAACTTTTCTGAGGCAATTTCGGTGCTTTCAACTTGAAATTGCCTTTGTTAGCCTTGCCACTGTTTCCAGTCTGTCTGCTCCCTTTTGTGTTGTTTTTGCTGAATGTTGCAAAGCCATTGCCTGCTCAGACCATATTCCCACAAGCCCAGCACTCTCTGGGATGGTGTAAGTCCTGGCTCTCTGCACAGAAGAGCTGGGTATTGCTAGAGGACTCACCTGCATCATTCAGGTCATCATTCTCAGCATCTTCCTCATTGCTGCGTGTCTGAAACACACACAAACAGTCACCCCACATCCCTGGCAGCAAAGGATTCTCCATCCAAGCATAGGACACTATCAAAGCTTTCCTGCCAGCAGAGTCAGTAATACCTAGTCTGAGACTATTTAGCATTAACATTGCAGGAGGGTATCCACGGAGTGCCTTAATGACCTTTTCTTCTCCCCAGATCTTCCTGCTGGCTTTTTTGATTGGGATTTAAGGGACACAGGGCAAGGAAGGAAATTTGGGGCAGACCTGCTCCCATAGCACATCCTGGGAAGACAGCCAGGACAGAGAGTAAGCAGCACGAAAGCCCCTCCATTGCAGTTAAAATCAGCAATGTCACATTTTCAGAAGTGCCTCAACAAAAGCCCCGTCGCATTCTCAAAACCATTTAGGGACCTAGCCTCAGGGATGTTTCAACATCCATTGCCTGCTGAAATCAGTCCACCTGGTGGATGTTTGATACCTGGCTACCTTAAGTATGCTTGACACACAAAAGCCCACATCTTCCTGCAGACCCATGCCAGGAGGGCTCCTAAAACACTCAGTGCTGTTGAAAACATCTTCCTCAAGCCAGTGCAGCCACTTTTCCCCTCTGCTGGCAGCTGTCACAAAAGATTACCTGGTTATACAGCTCCTTCAGGGACTCATAGTACTTGGACCACCAATCCAGTTCTTCCAGCTCTGGTTTTTCCTCTTCATATTCATCCTCCTTCTTTACAAGCTTATTGAAAGGAATTTTCTTCAAAGGAGCCTTAAAAGAAACGAGAAAAGGGTTCAGAGGGAGGAAACGACCACCCAGGACACCCATGCACCCTACTCTAGGTGCCTTGGGAGCCTCTGGCAGAAGCTCAGCTTTCAGGCAGAGCACAGGAGGTGCAAAGCTACCTGTAGCCCCAGGTTTGTGCTTTGCTACAAAAGCAGCAGTTTTCAAGGCACGAGGCAACACAGCTCTCCTCCCTGTGCCAGAGCCCAGACACATCAGCCCAGCAGTGCCGACGAACAGGCAGGGGAGAGGAGTGTTTGGGTCCAGAGCAAAAACTGGTGGTTGAAACCTAACTCTTAACTTCTGAACTTTCTTTTTTGTTTGTAACCTTCAGTTTGGCTTTTCAAACTTCAAAATTTGCTGGGCCCAACACATTACTCACCTTCACAAGACTCAGGGGGTGAGTGCTGGGACCTGGGTCACCAGCTGCCGGGCTAATGTTTACCACAGTCTGAGAGGGAAGACGCTGGGATGAGACTTTCCGAGCTGAGATGAAGAGAAAGATCTTCACGTTTCCATGCATTTATTTCTGCCCACTGCTTCCTACTTTTTGGCCAGTTGTTATTCCACAGGAAAACCCTCCCTGTCACCCCATGATAGTGTGATTGCTTTTAAAGCTTTTGATAGCAGACCCTGCAAAAATATTATTGGAAATCCAAGTGCAGTGCTGAGACTGGCCATCATCATCAACATGCTTGATGATGAACAGACAACGTGAAAGAAGCGTAAACGTTTCAATCCTTGGTCCTAGTGGACCAGGTCCCTAAAGCCTGATGGAGGTCTCACTGGGGACAGCTCTCCAGCCCCGCTACGCAGAGGGTTGAAATAGGTGAATACAATAGTCCTTCCCAGGCTAAACATCTCTGATTCTAGACACAAACTTTCCACAGGGGTAAGTTACTGTCTAGTATCTAGCCCCAGCTAAACGTCCTGCTGGACTAAGACGTCTTCACGAGCCATTCTCCCTCCTCTAGTTTCTACAAATGTAAGGCAAACAGCGCCTGGGAAAGAGACCCCAAGGAGATGCCACATCCACAGACAAACAGTCCTGTCAGTGTGGTGGGGAGGCAAATGTTAAGCTAACCTTAGAGAAAACAGTCTGTAAATTGCCCTTTGCCATTTCCAAAGAGGGACGCCAGCCCTTACACAGCACTCCATCGCTTGGCTGCTGCTGCTTCCCAAACACCAGTCTGGAGCCGAGTGCTATAGACCAGGATCACAACCTGCCCCCAACCCTAACCTGCCCCACACTGCTTTTGCTGGGCATCTTATGGGTCTCAGAAGAGGACTTTGCTGTCTAGCTAGGAGGGAGTGGAAGAGCCAAGGCTCTCTACTGCTGACAGAACCTGGCTGCTGCTCCACAGGAACCTTACCAAGCAGCTCACCTTTGGGCATGTCTTCTGGTTCCTCCTCCAGCTCTCTGGGGAAGAATTTCATCACATCGGACACAACATGGGTACCCACCAGCACAGTGCGCCCAAACGCCCGCTTTTCCACCACAAAGATGCTGAGGGGAGGGTGCAGGTAGACCTGCTCTGGGAGCTCCTGCAAAAGAACCGCGCATAGGATTCGCAGGAGCAAGGGCGATACCCGTGGCAGCCCCACCACATGCGGGGAGGTCTGATGGCGCTTTGCATCTCTGCCCAAAAAACAAAACCTTGCAGTGACAGGCAATGGTTGAGACTGCTCTTGGTGGCCAATTTCACAAAGGTTTTGATCTGCAGCTGAACCATGTGGCCATGGGAGAGCAAAACCCCAGGGGCTGATCCCCTCCTGTTACCTTGCCGCATGCAGACAGGCAGTGCACGGGTGCAGGACAGCCACAGTGCACCCTGGCATGGCAGGACCCCCCTTCCCACTCACCACGTCCATATATTTGACCAGCTCAGTGAAGTTGGGGTTCTCTTTGTAGGCCACGATCACCTCCGACTCCACCTTCTTGCCAGCACACTCAATGATCACCTGGGGCTGATTCACCTCGAACAAGTTCACCCGCTTCAGGTCCCGCAGGCCCCAGAACAGGATCTGAAGCACAACACGAAGCCGCTGGGCTGCTTGAGACATGCCAGGCATGGCACGGCTACGCAGCCTGCAACCCTGCCAGATGCTGCCACCCCCCTCATCCCGCAGGACACAGACCCCAAGAGAGGCATGAGGCCACTCTCCCAACGCAGCCACCCAACAGCTCTGGCTATTAAACTGTTGAGGTGGTTTGTCCCTCAGGCCAAGCACCTCCCTTTCTGGCACCTGCTGAGGCCTCAAAGGCACATTTGAGCTCCAAACCCAACTCCCTCCCCAAGCCCTGCCCTCTGCACAGACCAGCTGTGCTGTCTGCTTGGGGCAGCCCGGTGGGTAACCAGCCCAGTAGAAGGTAGTGCACCTCTATGCGAAACTCCTTCAGCACTGGGCGGATGCCCTCAGGGATGATGAACCGTCCAGCACAGGGGTCTCCCAGGTAGTCGGGCTCCTTGGGCTCCACGTCCTCAGGCACTGATGGCTGAACAGGTGGAGGCAGGGCACACCAAGCGATGAAAGCCATTTCTATTCCATGCCATGTCCCCTCTCCCTCCCCTCTTGATCTGTGCTCACAGGCTCTGTCCCTGCAGCCTCCCTCCAGTTGAAAGTCAGATGTGGCTTTCAACAGGGAATCCTCTGGTGGGCCCCATGCAACCAGCTCCTCACCCACACAGCTCTCCCCAGAGAGCTGGCAACCATGGGCAGCTTCCTACAAGCCTGTTACCTCCAAATAGCCACTGTAATCCAGCTCAATCAGCTCAAAAGTGGCAATGAGCTCTCCCGCTGCTTTGGTGCCTTTGTAGAAATCGAAGAACTGCAGGGCAGGTTTGGTATACGGCTCATCAACCAGCTTCACCTGCGGGACAGCAAAGGCCTGGCCAAGGAACTCAGGGGAGCCCTGCGGGAAAGGCATGGGTCAAAGCATCCCTGTGTTATCTCACCACCTCAGAGAAAAGACCACCACTAATTCCAGCCAATCTGGGACAGCACAAGACTGCTCTTCCACCCTTGATTTCCTCTGCTCCATCCAGAGCTAGGAGCAGATGAGATGCGCCTGCAGCAGCTCCTCTTAACTCCCAGTCCACCTCCATGCAAAACTGGGCAAACAGTCTGGGACCATGCACCTGAGGACATCAAAGCTAGACCATGTTGCTCAAAGTCTCCTCCAGCCAGGGTTTGAATGTCTCCAAGGGTGGAGTTCCCACAAGCTCTCTGAGCTCCAGGCCCAGCATTTGAACTCCCTCTGGGTGAAAATTGCTTCCTTATATCAAGTTGGATTTTTTTCTTGTTCCAACTTGTGTCCGTTGCCTGCCACCCTGCCCCTGGGTACCTCCAAGAGAAGTCTGACTGCACCTTTTCTACCCTCTCCCATCAGGCAGCTGCAGGCAGCAATAAGACACTGCCTTTGCCTCATCTTCTCCAGGCTGAATATACCCAGCTCTTCACCACCTCTCCTCACTCTGTCCTGTGCTCCAACCCCAGCCATCTTGGTGGCCTCCTCTGGACTCACTGCAGTATGTCAGTGTCTGTCTTATACCAGGAAATGGACCCAGGAAAGCTGCTGATCTACACAGGAGAATCCAGTGCGAGCTACGCCATTCCCCTTATGATAACAAAGAGGGCCCAGGAGACAAGTGTGACTTCAAAGCAGTAATGAAGAGAGAAAAGGGAGGACCAAGGAGGGATGGAAGATGACACCTGGGGGACAGAGGGGAAGAAACAGCCCTAAGAGCTACATTGTCTGCCCCTGGCTATGAGCCCTCTGCAACGTGACCCTGCTGAGGAAGCGGGGCAGGCAGCTGGGAGAGGCGCAGTGCTTCTCCAAAGAGGAGAGATCCCGGAACCACTGGGCACGCATCAGGCCCTGGCTCAGGGCATCTCTGAGCCATCTACACGCTGCGGCCAGCAGCTTCACCCCAGCTCACAGCAGAAGTCTGCAGAAAGTCTCAGCCTCAGCCACAGCCCCCAGGACTCACCGCCACCGGTGGACCAGGATCAAGCTGAGTCATGGAAACCTAACAGAGATGTGGCTCTTAAGTGCCTGCTCGCAGCACCCACACAGAGCTCCTCTGCCTTCCCTGTCCTGAAAACGACAGCAGAAGGGCAGCATGGCCATACTTACAAATTTATTGTGGCTGAAGAGGTTGATTATAATGATGGGGGTCTCTGTTTTCAACTCTTCTTTTTTCCCATCAATAATGAGCTGGTCAAACAGAAGTAGCTCATTCCACATGGGGCTCAGTGTCTCTTCCAGCATCTGCAGACAGAGACAGGAGGCCTGAGCATACCACAGCCAGTGGAAACAAACCACATGCACCTTGTAAAGAGAGTGAGGAAGCGTGGGCTGATCCCCTCTCCCATGCAGCCACACGCAGCTGGTGCCTGGCAGAAGGGGAGATGGTAAAAACATGAAATCAGCACGTGGGGCCAACTAGCACATGCCAATCAACCTTTGAGACCATGCTCAATGATATATATGTTTTGTCAAATGGTCCCTGAACATAGTCACACTGCCCACAAAAATGCACTGGCCTTCAACATGTCAGTGAGGATGTGATGATTTTTCTCTCCCCAAGTCCCCAAGAAGGCAGAGGCAAGAGTTTAAGCGGTCTCACCCTGGTGGTCTGGCAATGAGTCGAAAACACCACTCTCGCAAATGGATCTGAAAGGCCATTATCATCTGCAGGGAGGATCCCTCGAGCCTGATACAGATGGGCTCGGAGCTGGAAATAGCTGAAATCTGGTAAGAAAAAGAGAAGAGAGGCGTCAGTTCCCCAATCCAGCCCTGCATGAGGCCAAAAAATGCATGAAGAAGAGAGCCAGCCAGGTAGAAGTGGGCACATCCTGCAAGGAATGGGTACCACTCCTAGGGGCACTCACTGTGGTTCTCAGAAGGCCAGCACATCTCAAAAGGTTTGGCCAAGCAAGACAAGCTCAGCGGGCTCCCCAGAGATCTCTGGGAAGCCTGTGACATGTGAAATGTGCAGTGATCTGCTGTGAGCATCTGCTGTGGGGGAGCACCACCAGGCCTCAGCAGAGGGGCAGACCTCACGCCCATTCCCAGTTTGGCAGCACATTCAGTGCCCACGAAGCACCTGTCCTGCCTGCTGCTCCAGTTGTGAGCGTGCAAACATATCCTCATGACAGCGAACTGGACCTGCCTGTCCCAGTCATGCCTTGGAGATGACGTGGAGATGATAGATCAGGTCCTACTCTTTGGACACTGACCCTGGGGCAGGACTTCTCACCTCTCTGCTCTCCTGCTCACAGTTAAGCCATCGAAAAGTGGCATCTGCTCTCACCATCCCTGCTGAGCCGGCTGGGAGGACTGTATGCTGAAAGCTGGGCTATCTCCTGTCCGCTCTCAGAGAGGTACTTGAACTCCTCAGGCAGCTCCGCCAAACAGTTCTTCGCATATTTGGTTACTCCAAGCCACATGTAGATTTCCAGTTTGGCAAAGATCTCACTAGTGTGTAAGCGAGGGACCTGAAAGCACAGGAGGTTTAGCAGGTTTCCCATCTCAGCCATGCCCTCTTCAGACCAAGATGATCACCATCAGCCAGTGACTGACCGAAGAGCACAGAAGACAGAGCACCACACTGGCAGAAGCAAAAGGCAGTGGTGGAGCAAGAGCTTTGTTTCCTTGTGAACTCTAGGATTTCAGGAAGGAGAGCTAGAAGCAAGGAGGGAGAAGCAGCGTGAAGCAAGCAAGAGCACACTGGTTTGGTATAAACCCTACCTTCATAAAGACAGTTTGGATCTTCGCACAGTCCTTGCCTTTCTCTTCTTCAACTACTGAGTAGAGGATGTTCTGTGCAGGAACTCTTGCATATGCCACACGCCTATTGTTGCTGAGCATCCAGATGAGGACATCAGGGAGGGTGCACTGGGGCTGGAGGGAGGGAAGAGAGGAACGTCACAGCAGAGGAACAGCACATATCTTGTCCTCCCTCCACTGACACAGTGAAAGCTTCGCCTCCTCGCAGGAGGAACTGCTGGCTGCACGGCGCTTTGGAGATCCAGAAGCAAATGAAGGGCCTAACCTTCATGTTGGTTAGGAATGACGTTGGGCACATCCTTCTGAAAGTCTCAGCCCTGCAATATGGCTCTGCAGGTTTCTTGGAGGGATCTGTGATCCGCCTTGTTTTTCATTGCAAACACCAGCAGGATGCACTCAACCCCATGCCATGATGGGAAGAAGGAGCCCCCACAAGACTGGAGAAGTGTCATTTTACCCCACACCTTTGACAGGAGCCTGAGTGCTAATCCATGGGAAGGAACAACATTAGCTGGCATCCCAGCAACATGAGTGCCCAGCGTAAAGCTGCAGTTCGGGTTGAGAGCAGAACTTCCAATATAGCAAATGCACACATGGAAGCAATGACTTCTTTTAAACTCTAACCTTAAAGTTCTCTTCCCTATCTCAGTTTCCCTGCCATTAGTGTTTGCACATATACTTGGTATTTATACTTGCAATTTTCAGTAGACAAGTAGCTGAAGCAATTTATTACTGATCCAAACCAAGACCGCAAGCCTCCAAGCAGGGACTTAAAAGTGGCAAGTGTATGTGCAGGGCTGACTCTACAGAGACAGCAAAATTCCCACCTGATTGCAGGGAGCAAAATGGGAGGAGGTTCCTCTCTGCCTGGGGGATCAGCTGCAGCCAGCCTGCCAGGCTGGAGCCTGAGGACAGCTTCTCTTCCTGGTGGTGTGAGAGGTGACATCGTGGTCATGCTAAAGTCTTCCCTCACATAGCTAAAGGTGTGAAAATGATTTGACTTCACTTAGTGAAAGACTTCTCCAAACTGCAACATCTGTCCACCTAACTCCAGCAAACATTGCATTCTGGTTTACACTACACGAATGCACTGATTTTCTGGAGTTACTTAAAACAGAGCCAGTGAAACTCTGAAAATGGAGTCTCTGCTATGGATGAGAGACCTTATTTCAATGCAAGTTTGAATTTGCAGAAAGTGTCCTGGGTCAGGCCCTGGTGGCAGTGCGGGCAGCACAGGCAAGGCTGTTTTCCCAGGCAGACTGCCCACAGCCCTGCTGCAGGCATGGCCTCGGGCTGGCCAGGCAGAGAGGGCTGGGAGGCCTGGGTGACCTGGAGCTGGCCCAGCTCTGCCCCCAACCCACCGCTGAGCTGCTTGGACCTCTGGTCTGTCACCAACAGCCCTGCAAAGCTGCCAAGCTTCATCCCTCACAAGAGCCATTACACGAAATATGGAATTTCCAGCAGCTGGAACTTGGGATTTTACATAGTAAGGAAAGACATCAGAGGGAAAGCCACAACTCAGGCTAGCGAGAGCCCCAGCAGCCAGCCCAGCACCCTCTCCTTGACGTACCCTCTCCTGCTCGGAAATGGGGTACCCTAGGGGCAGCTGTACCTCTTTAGCCATGAAGCGTAGCTTTGTCAGGACCCTCCTTGTCTCCTTAACCTTCTCCTTGACATTGGCTCGAGTCAGCCGCCGCTTCATGCGGAGCCCCTGCTTTGCATACAGGATCTGAAAAAGAGCATGGCTGTCACGCGCCCAGCCGTGACCCAGGCATGCCACGCTGGCACCCCTCGCGAGGGCTCTGCAGGGAAGCACCCGTGTGCTGATTGTGTCCACCCTGCCCCATCGCACCCTGACCTTCACCGCGGCTCATTCACCAGCTGCTGAGAGCAAACCTCCATGAACCTGTCGCGAGCCATTTAGTGAAGGTTGCCAACAACTGGAGACTTCAGTAATTCATCAGCTCCGCTGATACCAGCCAGTAACAGAACTCCATGAGCATCATTTGGGGCAGAAAGATGTATAAGGCATAAACATTTCAGAAGCTGGTGGTATAGGGCTCCAGATAGTGCCTGGGGGAGGTTTTGCACGAGAAGCAACTTGGGGCCACAGAAGTATAGGAATATGAAGATGTAGGAAACTGGAAGATGGGGCTGGGCTTTCATGTCCATTAGTTGATGGTATACACATCTGAGGAGAGACTTTGCGATGAAACTAATAATGAAATCCAGAAGGAATTCAGGGTGCAAACCCAGTGTGGACTGACAAAGCCAGAAAACTCATCTCTTGGGCTGGTTCTCTCTTTCAGAGGGTCTCAGACTTACCAGAGTACCTTTACCATAGCTCAGGTGACAATGTGCGGGGAGGCAGAGGGAAGGGAGCTGGGACACAGACATGCCTAAATTTTATTTCCTGCTGCTGTCATTGCATTTTGGTCAGCCTTTCAAAGCTTTGTAGTCTGATGGGGACTATGACTACAGCCATAGTAGTCAGCTCTGCTGTGCTGTGATGGAGAGTATGTAGCTGTGCTCTCATTCAGCTAGCTGACCTTGTCTGCAGGATTATGACTGCCTACATGTTGTCCTCTCTGGGGACAGGCAGATGGATGGCTGTTGTAGATCTGCTGGATAGGTATCCAGCCTATGAGCTGAGTTTCCAGGGGCAGTGGGTCTCATTGAGCTTCCCCAAAACTGCCTGCAGGAATAGCCTGCACTAAAAGGCCTCCAGCAACCTACTGGGCAGCAACATGCATATGCTTAGCCACACATGCCCCACAGGAGAGGAAGGACAGCATCAGGGCACAGCATCTGCATAAAACTAGAGGCAACCATGGCCAGCCCCTGCCTCTGTTCCCTGTGCTGGAAGCTGTATTGCTCTGAGCAAAAGTGGAAGATGCTGATGTAAAAGCCTATGACTGATACCATGAGTCTTAGCCCCAAGTTTCCTTCTTAGCATCAATTCTAGCTGGTCCTCCAGAAGCATCCCCCAGAGCGGGGATCTCACGGGCTCCCACCACCACCACCAAGCCCCACAGCTTACGATGTTGCGCATCAGGTATTTCGTCCGACATCTGTCAAGGTTGTTTGGATGTGCCATTGTTTTTCTCTCTGTGCTGAGTGAATATTGCCTGCAATGAGAAAAGCAGCACAGGCTCTGCATCCCCTGCACCCAGCAGGCAGAGCTCAGCTCACACAGCAGTGGCACAAGCTCCTAATCCCTCGTACTAATCCAGATGCATCAGAAACCCCCCTCTCTGCAATGCCCTCTCTTCTGCAAGCTCTTTGATGCAGAAGGTACACTGGGGATTGCTCAGCAGCTGAGGCTCCCTCTCTACTGTTGTCATCACAAGGCTGGGCGCTGAAGTGCATACCGGACCCCACTGGGCAGTCACAGTGATTGAAACACTAGTCTCTTGTCTGCGTGATTGAAGAGAGTGAAGGAAATGTCCTAACATTTATGAAACAGTCCAGGAGTCCAGGAACATCGAGGCTGCAGTCTGTGACTCCTGTGCTTCCCAGGACTGGGGTCTCCTCTCCAAGCTTGAAGAGCTACAGGGTCCTTTCCCCAGGTCATCCTGGTTTCCTTCTGCTCATCCGCCTCAAGAGGACGAGACAGCAGGCTGCGCACAGCCCAGGCAGAACATCATACGACCTCCTAACCTGAAAACAAGAAACCTTAGGAAATCAGGGACATGCTAACCTGCATCCAGCTACAAATTCCTCCAGCACCTCTCTGAGCCGCTCTTCTGCTTTAGCCTTTGGCCTTCTCATGAGCTTCTCCACGTCATCCAGCCCCTGCTCCTGTGGGGAAAGCACAACGTTCAGGGAGCTTGCGTCTGGCTGCGGGGTCAGAGTGAAACATTGCACAGATGCGTTTGCCACAAATGGCTTGTGCCCTTCTGCAGAGATGGGGATCGTGAGAGTGCTGCAGATCAGCACTGTGCTGCCAGGGACTCTCTGGAGCCTGGGGATAACCTTAACACTGGTTGTTACACCACCTTATGTCTCAGTCCTTGAGCAGCCACTGAAACACACTGGCAAGCTCTGCTTTCGGATTTCTAAGCCCAAAAGGGAAAGACAAGGCCCTGGGAAGAGACTGCATCCCCCTGATGACAGCCCGAGGCTGAGAGTCTGCTTCCCGTGCACACGCAGCTCCGGACTGGCAGAGGAGCTTTTTGTCACAGACATCGCATCACTCGCACCTCCAGGAGACACCGCCAGGCTGCGGCACAGCACCGGCAGCAGCTCTGCACTCACTGCCCTATCCCACACATCTAAAGGGCAGGTGGGACTGAGCCCTACAAGAGACACAGACTCGCATGGGGGCTGAGGATGTTTAAGGCAAACGTCTCACAGAGCAACTGCATGTGCTACAAGGAAAGCACACCAGGAAGGACCGTGCCACAGACAGACACCCTGAACACGCTACCAGGCGCTCTGCCAGCTTGACAATCCAGTTGGAAATGCAGAGTCTCCAGGTGTGATCCTCCCAGTAGCTCCACACATACACGCAGGGTTTCTCACGGATCATGGGCAGGCAGCTGTATGACCTAAGGGCAGCAGGCACAGGAGGTTACGGCTGCTGTTTGCAGAAAGCATGTGCCATGTCACAACGCAGCACTTGCGCACCCAGCACAGGGAGCAGCATCTGTCCTCCTCACAGAGAACTGGCTGTTTTGGCCCTGACCACAGACGTGGATGCAAGCTACTGGATCTGCCCTTTGCCATCCCAAACTAGCGCACAGGGTTTCTAGCACAGAGAGCAGCACGTGCCCAGATGAATGAGGCTGATGGGAGTGTGGGATGCTGCCGAGATTTCTTGCTGCTATGGGACTAAGTAGTAGCAGGTACAGGGCTCACAACGCAAACACCAAGACATTGCCAGGCCTGTGGGACAAACCAGGCAGCATCTCCAGAGCAAACATATAATCAGAAGAGCTTATGTATGTGTCTCTCCTGCCCAACATAGGACAGCTTTTGCCAGAGTACTCCTCTCCTTCCTCCTCACTGGAATCAAGACCTTAGGATGCTGCTTGTTAAACAGAAAAGGGACTGCTGTTATTGATGGGTCACAGTTTCCCTGGGACCCTGTCTTGGCCACTTGCGCACATCAAGCAGACACTGTAGGGTCTGTAGGGCTAATGGCCAATGGCAGCCAGCTAGGCCATGACAAGCTGCAGGGTTGCAAAGAGGAGAAACACCTGCACATTGCCGAGCAGACCTCTAATAATGTCTGGAATAACCAACCTGGGAAACTGGGGCAGGACCAGGGCAGGTGGGAAAGAAGGACAAAGCCTCACCTGTCATACTCCATGGGCTCTGGTCTCTGGCTCTCTGTCACCGACTTGTTCAGTGCTGCTGAAGCTGGGGACAGGACTTCAACATCCAGCTCACCATCTGAACCAGGGTCCAGCAAAGGCTGCTTTTCTTCTTTCACTTCTCCCTTTTCCACTTTTCTCCATACTTTGGTCACAACGTCTTCAGCTTTGCCATAATTTCCTTGAAGTTAAGCATTAAACAGTAAACAGATAAGTGGGATCACTGTTAAACAAGTTTGCTAGCTTGCAAAATCAGAGTGCAATCATCCTGCCATGAGAAGCACATGGGCATGCACTGATTTTGGAACTAGCAGTTCAGTAGCATCCAACCATCAGAGCATCGCATGGACAACCAGGAGGTCTGAGAGGGAGCTGGGCAATTGCAAGGAAGTCCTTGTGTATGCCTTCAAGTTCCACCAGCTCCACCAAGTGCCTGCTAACTGCCATCTACGCCCCTACACTGGGGTCAGCAGCAATCACTCAGGAAGACTTCTCAGCATCAAGCTTCTCCACCCATCCAGCTTAGCAGGTGGGGGCTTGGACCTGCTCTCCTACCATTGTTTCCCCATCACCTGCTGTAACAGTCCCTCAGTACCACATGGCCAACCCCAGTATCCCAGCTTCCCTTCCTTTGCTTCCCTTTCTTGCTCCCAAACCCTTCTACCTCTTCTCACCCACCCCCACTTCCCAGGAGAGTTTCAACCACTCTCCCCAAACAGGCAGTTCAGACAAATACTGCAAATCTCCAATCCCACAGGAGAGCATCAAGACTTTTAAGGTAATTAAAGCACTGTGTGCACTCCCTGGCCTCATCCTCACCGAGTTCCTGTTTCAGAGGCACGAGCTGTGCCAGGGCTGGCACCTTAGGACCGAAGGGCTGTCAGCAGGAGATTCGCACTGTTCCCATAGTTTCTGGACACGGGACCCTGTGGAATACCCACCTATAGAGACTTCAAAGCTGACAGGCTTGGAGCTGATAGAGGAGTCCATCATGGTGGCTTCAAAGAAGGCGGCAAAGAGGAGGAATTCCTCCTTCCTCCCCAGTGCATTCTGAGCAAGGAGACAAGAAATTAGCCCAAGACGCTCGTGTGCCAAAACACTGTCTCAGCAGAAATTTGGAGAGCACCAGGGCATGGCCGGTGCCTGCCAGCCCTCCCAAGGGACGTCAGTGGGATGCTGCTGAAGTCATCACCGCTGGGCTGCCAGACGCGGGACAAGTTTTCTTGGAAGTCCCGGGGGGTTGGTGCAGAGCCATGGCTTTGGCTGATGCTTGTGTGAAGCCACTGAGCAGGTTTGTAGGCTAAGGGATGGCTACTGTACCAACACAGCTGCATCTTGCCTGCCTTTCCCAGGCCAAGTGGAGACCCAGAGCCAGTTAATAGCTGCCTGGCTCTAGGGGAGAAAAAGTACATGCTCAAAGGCAGCTGTGCCCTGGGAATAACACCCATGGGAGAGTCCTCCCAGTGCCAGTAAGGCAGTGCATGTGGGGACGCTCCAGTCTTACTGTGGGAGACAGTTTTGGGGCTGTGGGTGTGGCCTCAGCCCTTGCAGAGGCTCAGAAAGCCTTGGATGGCTCAGAAATGAGCAGGCTGGGTTTGCTCCAACACTGTTACACCAGCAAGTGATCCCACTGCCTCTTCCCCATGAGGCCTGTGCATGCCGCAGGCCGGTGTGGGTCAGCCACGCCAGCATGGCAGGACTCACCTCGGGGAGTGGATGAAGCTCTTCCACATCCACAGTGACCTCCCCGGGCTGCTCAGCCTCCTGAGAGCCCCCAGCCTCCTCCTCTCCCTGCAGCTGGCTCAGTTCTTTGGCTTTCTCCTTGGATTTCTTACTTTTCTTCTTCAGCTTCAGTTTGCTTCGGGCACCTTTTGTCTTGTCCCCAAGCTTCCTCTCTGCGACACTGGGGCTGCTGAAGATCTCCACCGTGATGGCCAGGAGGATGCGCCCACGGTAGAAGATCCCTTCACCCATGCCCTCATTGAGGTCCTTGTGGATGTCCCGCAGAACTGAGTTCTGAGGGGAGCCATACAGGTTCACCCAAGCTGGGCCAAACGTGGGGTTAAAGCCTGCAGCAACAGGGACAGGGTCTAAATACACCACAGGGTGCTGCTGCAGAGAGGCCTTCCCCCAAGAAGACAGCCCAGGACACAGGGATGTGGGCATGCTTCAGCCACTCCAGCTTCCCATCTCCAGGAAACCACCATGGCCAAGCAAAGGGTGCATGGCATGGGGCTGCCCAGGACGCCCTGCCCCAGGGGCAGCCATGCCAGGCCTCACCATTCCTGCCAGGGTCTGAGATCTGCTGCAGGTCAATGTAGTGTGTAGCGATGGCCACGTCACCAACATTGGCATCATCCAGCACCTGGACTTTTATCTTCCTGGCCAGAGGTGGGAACATCTCGATGAAGCTGATCTGCTCGTTCCACTCAGGCTCAGTGGTGTTGGTCTCCACTGACGTTTCCCCCTGGGAAGGAGAAAGTGTGAAAGCCATGCAGTCGGAGCTGGTGGCCAGAGCAAGGGATGCCTCAGAGCCTATCTGGGAACGGTATGTTCTCCTGTCCCGCCTGCAGACAGTGCTGGGCAGGCTCTGGAGGCGGCAGTGTCCCTGCTCCTGCCCCCATCCCAGCAATTGCTCTCTGTGCTTCATCAAGGAGGGTTGTCCCAAGGCCCTGGCCGTGCCCTGCACAGCCAAGGGAAACTCTGGAAGCAAGCGGCAGCACCATCAGACCCAGAGGTGTCGCAGGGTCCCCTGGGAGCACCCCCAGGCCCACCAGGCTGCCCAGGGACTGATTCTCATCTTAATGGATATCACAGGACCAGAAATCCTGAGCTTGGGTGCAAGAAAAGGGCCATTAGCTCAGTAAACTCTCCCGAGGGTGTCAGGCTGAGTGCAGCTTGCCACAGAGGATTCTGCTCTAGGATTTATTTGACCCTCTCCTTACGTTTAGGGATATGAAATCTCTGCCTGCACAGCCAGTAGCTCAGCCAGTGGCTGTGCTCAGGGCTGGGGCTGTCCCCCATGCAGCCCTCTGCAGAGACAAAAGCCTTCTCATCCAGACACCGCGCATCCACAACCACATGACTCAGGCCACTGCCAAAGACAGCAAGACTTGGGGTCTCCCAGCCTGCCTCCAGTGGGACTACTGTGTCCTATGGAGGGTCCTTGCAGCATCAGCCCAGCGCATGCTGCCAAGGGAGGATCAGCCTGGCCCCATGCAGACCCCCTGGCAGACTCACCTGCTGCCCACAAAACGAGACCTGCACATATGTGTCGATGAAGACTTTTTTCTCCCCTATGATTTTGGAGAAACCACCCATGATGCCTGCGTTCATGCTGGGCAGGCCCTCGGCACGATACAGCTTGATGCAGACCCTGGCCCAGGGTCTCTCTGCAGGGACTCTCTTTGGCAGCAGCAGGTTCCTGAAAGACAAATTCATGTTCTGGCTCTCTCCTGGAGCCCAGGAAACACGATTCTTTCCCTGGGTCTTTCCCCATCAGAAGAGGGAAAAATGGGGCAAAAAAGCTAGTGTGAAGAGAGACATGACTGTTTTCCCCAGGGCCATGCAAGACTGTACTGCATCTACCTTTCAATGTCCTCATCCTGGCTGCCGGAGGAGGTGGGAAGGGAGCTCACAACATCCCCACGCGCGGTGACAGAGATGTTGCACTTCACAAATCCCTGGGTCTTTCCCCATCAGAAGAGGGAAAAATGGGGCAAAAAAGCTAGTGTGAAGAGAGACATGACTGTTTTCCCCAGGGCCATGCAAGACTGTACTGCATCTACCTTTCAATGTCCTCATCCTGGCTGCCGGAGGAGGTGGGAAGGGAGCTCACAACATCCCCACGCGCGGTGACAGAGATGTTGCACTTCACAAAGCCTTTCACGCCTGCCCGGGTGTCCGTGGGGTCACTGATAACAGCCCACTTCTGGAAAAACCTGTGATCTGAAAGGGAAGGGAAGGAGTTCCTTGGGGAGATCCCAGGTTACTATTTCACAACCCAAATACATCTGCACAAAGATTGCCCTGACCCTGCCTATGAAGGTACAGGAGGTGTCACCAGCCCTCAGTCAGCCGGGAGGAGAAGCAAGTGCTGGTCCTCATGTGAACTACGTGCTTTAAAGACAGGGCCCTCACCAGACCCAGCAGAGCACAAAGGAAACATCAGTTTCAGACAAAGCTAGGGTCAGGGAGCAGGTACACAGTGCAGTCGGTCATACCTGGCTGGCTGTACACTGTCGCAACATCCATCTTGAACGTTCCTATGCACGTTCCCAGGAACGGTATCTTCTTTGAGTGAAAAACCTGCAGACAGCACAAATCCCCCTGAGCACCAAGAGATCTGGGCAGCCAGGTGACACATCCAGACATTTCTGAGGAGGACAGAACCGCTAAGAGATGTCCATTCCAACGCACAGCTCAGGCAACGGTTGCAAGCTCCTCATGCACGTTGACCTATCTGAGTTAGCCCTGGGACAAATCCATTCCTGCCTAACCATTCCCACAAAGCCCACCAGTCCATAGCCCTCAGTCAAACCTAGGCAAAGGCAAATTCATGAGCAACCCATTCAGCTTCTTCTTCCAGCCCCAGGTAAGACAAACCCCTATAATGGGCCAAGGGCAGACCTGCTTTCCTGCAGGGAGTCCTATGTCCATATCCTGCTGGGTCAGGGCAGACCCATGCTCCCATCAGGCTAGTCTCTCCCAAAACCCGAGCCTTGCTGGGTGCTTGCTGAATACACACCAGCAGAAGAGACGTGCAGCCTTTCACAGGGAAAGCGCTGGAGATCACGTGGCAAAGGAGGTGCTGGCTGGGTTTAGCTATCTTCAGAAAAGCCCCATGTATTGGAGAAGCGCCTGCGTTTTGAGCCAGGGGATTTTTGAAGACTGCTCTCTGCCTGCCTGGTCTTTTCTACAAGCACAAATCACTGCTAAGCTTCCCTCACACCAGTCATTCGCCTCCACAACCTGTAGGATAAGGCTCCAGGGTAAGGGGCAGAATGGAATCGCCCCAAAACAGTGGGGCAGCAAGGCAACAGGCAAGAAACTGCTCCAGCGGCCCCACTTCAGTCACTGGGTGCAGAGAAAACCTGACATGGAGGAGGTGGGAAGGCAGCACTGCCCAGCGTTGGCTCAGAGCAGGACCGGGTCTCTGCCCCACTGTGGCCGCAGGAAGGTCCTTTGGTCTCTCTGCGGGGCAGATGCCTCTGGCTGGAAAACCTGCCTGGTACTGGTATTGGTACCCTTGCTTTGCCCATCACTCCCCACATCCACATGCAGAAGCGTTGGGCTGTACCAGTTACTGACAAAGGATAAAGAGGAGGACATACTCACCGAGATCTCTATGAGTCTGTGGAATAAAATGTCCTTTGGCTCATGGAATTCGAACAAAAAATACTGAAAGAGAAGAGCAAGACAGCTGAGCCCTGGGCTCCCAACATGGCCCCACAAGCACCTTTGCCTGAGAGCAGCTGCATCCCGAGCATGCCCTGCAAGGATGGCCCCAGCCAGTTGGGACACCGGTAGGGCAAGGACAGAGCCTCTGTCCATATCACATACTTCATTGTAGAAGGGGCAATTTGTTGACTTCTGCATCGCCGTGTGCCTCTTCTCCTCTCCAACCTTGACTACCACAAAGGGGTTAATGTTCACCCCCACCAGCTTCTGCGCTTCAATGATATTAATCCCAACCTGAGAAAATGTGGGAGAAAACCCTCGCATCAGCACTCTCCTCGTTTCCAGCTCCAACTTGAGCTTGTTTCAGCAATACCAGTACACAAATGTGCAGGGCCCTCTCGCCGCAGGGTGGACACTCGGGGCAGGCAAGAGCATGGCTGCTGAAATCTGCTATAGCCAGGACAAACCAAAATGGTATTTGAGATATTTGTTTCTTTCAGACAAGCAAGGAAATGAAGTGTTAAATCCCCAGCATCTTTGATAAGAGTGGCCTCCCCAGCGGCACTGTCCCCCAGAAGCACTGTCCCCACTCAGTTCCTGATGCCAAGGGGATGCAAACCCACAGCTCCCACGTGGTGGGGTCCACAGAGCATTTTGGAGAAGATGCTCTTTTTATCTTCTATCAATACTTCTCTTTGAATCCTACTAAGATGGACACCATTGAAAAGACTGGAACGTGGCTGTCTCATTTGCTGCGGCTGGTTACAGGTCTAAGACATGGAATAAATGTGCTCACATTTGCTCTCAGTTGTTAAGGTGAAGAATAATAGCTTCAAGAAAAGGATGGTAGGAAATGCCACCCCCTACAAAAGCTTACTGCTTGGCAGATAGGACCCAGCCCTGAAAAGCAGGAGACCCAAATGTGAGTCCATGTTTACTTAGAACCAGGAAAGGATTTAAATCCATAGCCAGGCTGGGAGACCTGCCCTGAAATCTGCAGGGTGAAAGATGGGACTGAACTCCAGTTCCAGACTTCACAGTGGTTTCAAATAAACCTGATGTCAGAACATTGGCCAGAGCCACAGCTTCATACCAGCCTCCCAGCATCTCCAAGAAAGCCCCTGCAGCAGCACTCCACTCCCAGCCATATCCCACAGATGTCACTGGGGGCCCAGGCAAGGCCCTGGGGAAGCTGGCAGGCCCTAGCCCTGCCTGGGTGCTCCCCGAAGCTCTGCTCAGGCAGTGTTTCGCAGTGGCACATGTGGCTGTCAGGCAGATTCCCTTCTGTATATCCATTGCTATCTACATGGCCCAAAAAGAAATTCTGCTCTGGGCTGGCTGATGTTGGAGCCAGCACTCATGGATGCAGTTCGTTCAGGGAATCTCACACCTTGCCCAGGTAAGCCACACAAAGCAAGAAGGCGTCTTCAGGCTAGAGGCCTCGCCAGGGTATGTGGCAGCTGGAGAAGCCCAGGCCTGCAGCAAGGGACTGGCTGCGTGGCCAGAGGCAGCTGCAGGGACGCGCACCCAATGCTGCAGTACCTGGAAGCTCTGCGGGGTTGGGGTGGCAAAGAGGTCCCGTGCGGAGTAAAGTCTGGAGCGGCTGCGCAGAAAAACAACCCGGGTGAGCAAGTCTCTTCATCGACATGGACCTGAGCAAGCCCCCACCAAGGGAAGCAACGGAAACCCTGGCAAATAATGGCTCCTTGCCCTGGGAACAAGCAAATCCCCAACAGTCCCTGTTTGGGGCCATTGGAGATTGAAGGTTTCTGACATTTTGCAGAAGCAGAATGCCAAGAGACGCAGGATTCCCCCAGAAATCACCCCATGAGCTGGGCACTTTCCCAGGGCCCAAGCAAGGGCAATAGAGAAGAGCACACCACGGATACCTCTTCACAGGGCTGAAGACAATGCCCGAGACCTCCATCTCAGACACATCGTAGAAATCTTCTTCCTCCTCTTCCTCTTCCTCATCAGTCTCCAGGCCTTTCACCAGCTTCCTGCCCAGTGCAGCGGCCCTCCTGTCCAGTTCACTTGCTCTTGGCCCCTCGGCTGCCCTGCCAACCCCCGGCCACATCACACACCGCATCGTCAGCCCTGACGAGCGGGTTGTGCACTCCCCTCCACCCAGGAGGGTGAGCTGATACGCTCAAGTAAGGCTACTTACTCTAGCTCCTCAAATCCAGGATTGTGGATGATTAACTCTGAACTGTAAGAAAAACAGATGCTTTGCTGAAAAAACAAGTGTGTTGTGGCTGTTCACTGATGCATTTAAGTAACAGTGCCACAGCCATGCTCCTGCTTGGCTCTTGGCAGGGACATGAGCATCCTCCTAAGCGATGCTTTTCCACTGTCCACCCTGTGTGCCTGCTGCTTTGCCTCTGGCACTCCAGAAGTGACCCTGCTGCTGCCTATCATCCTGTCCGCCCGGACACCCTGTCCTGGTTTCGGCTGGGATAGGGTTAAATTTCTTCCTAGTGCTGTGTTTTGGATTTAGTATGAGGAGAATGTTGATAACACACTGATGTTTTCAGTTGTTGCTAAGTGCCCTCCTAGTCCAAGGACAGCTCCCATGCCTACTGACTGAGCTAGGTACACAAGATGGGAGGGAACATAATCAGGACAGCCAGCCCAGCTGGCTAATGGGGTATTCCATACCATGTGACGTCATGCTCAGTATATGAATGGTAGGCGTGATCCAGGAAGTACCGACCGCTACCTGGTTATCGGTCAGCGCGGGTGGTGAGCAATTGCATTGTGCATCACTCGTTTTGTATATTCTATCATTATTATTATTTTCCCTTTTCTGTTCTATTAAACTGTCTTTATATCAACCCACAAGTTTTACTCTCACCCTTCCGATTCTCTCCCCG